TAAATTTTTAATGTAAATCGACAAAAATTTTATTTATTTATTTATTTATTTATTTAATTCCATTTCTACCCCGCCCTCCCCGCATGCAGGCTCAGGGCGGCTTACAAGGCACAAGTGCTATAAAACCAAATACATTAAAAACAACATAAATTAAACAGTTCACAACTCACAAGATACATGGAGGACTAAACTTACACTTACTCCATTACATGACAGGAAGAGGTCCGAGATCGAAATCAGAAGGGAGAGGGGTGGCCTAAGCCATGTTGTTCCAATTTCTCATAGGCCTACCCTAACAGTCCTGCTTCCGCATACATGCGGTGATGGTAGTGGTGGCGGTGGTGGTAATGGCGGCGGTAATGGCGGATGCGGCCCCTATTCAAAAGCCTAGCGGAAGAGCTCCGTCTTACAGGCTCTGCGGAACTGTAAAAGGTCCCGCAGAGCCCTGATCTCCTCTGGGAGCTCATTCCACCAGATAGGGGCCGCCACCGAAAAGGACCTGGCCCTTGTGGTAGCTAGCCTAGCCTCTTTTGGGCCCGGGGTCACTAAACGGTGCTGTGACCCCGACCGAAGTGCTCTTTGGGGTCTATATGGGGAAAGGCGGTCCCTCAGGTATGTCGGACCCTGGCCATGTCTGGCTTGACCCAACCGTAACAGAATTTGGTATGCACCTAGTCATTATGATTTAAATGAATATTTAAATGAATTATAGTTTTATTAATGACTTCTGTTTTAACATTTTAGATCTTTTAGATTTGAGTATTTCGACTGTAAACTTTTATTGTAAAGTTCGTGTTATGAGGCCAATGTTGTATATTCATCTTTTATAATTGAGCTTAAGACCTTTGGTCATAGAAGCTAATAAACATAAGTAAGGAAAGGGACTGAAGGCGGCAGCAGCACCACGCGTCCTCTCTCTGCCTCTCAAGGTGGACGAGGTGCTCTGGCCCGGCCCGGCATCCAATGAGATCTTGAGCAGTGGTTGGTTTAGTCAATACCCACCCAAGAAGCAAGGTCAGAGCCAGTCCGTCTATTTATAAGACCGGCTTTTGAGCCCGGCGGCTTCTCTGGAAGCAGAGCTGAGCAGCTGAGCGCCTTGGGGCCATCCTGGGCTCCCACACGAGCTGCCAGGAGTACCCCCAGAGGGCCTGTATTGTTTATTATTATTTTTATTATTATTAATTTCTCTTTGTACCCCGCTCTCCCCCACTAATGTGGGGCTCAGGGTGGGTCCCAACACATAATAAATAAAACATACATCCGAGTAAAACATTTCAATTAAGACAATTCAGCACAACAACTCCTACGATGGCCCACATGTTTACTGTACTGCTGCCCCAGGGAAAGGAAGGGAGGGGCCCAGGTAGCAGAACGGCATGGCTGGGAGTTCCCCTGACCTCTCATCCATATGCTTGGCGGTTAAGACTCTGTTTGGCCAGCCCTGCGGCTTAAAAACTCCTTCCCCTTCCCCTCCGCCCGGATCTCAGATGGGCGTGCATTCCACCAAGTTGGAGTCATCGCTGAAAAGGCTCTGTCTCTGGTCAAGGCTAGGAAAATACGCCTTGATCCTGGGATTAGGGTTGCCAGCCTCCAGGTGGGGCCTGGGGATCTCCCGCTTTTACAACTGATCTCCAGCTGACAGAGATCAGCTCCCCTGGAGAAAATGGCTGCTTTGAAGGGTGGACTCTATGGCACTGGACCATGCTGAGGCCCCTCCCCTCCCCAAACCCCGCCCTCTCCCGGATCCACCCCCAAAGTCTCTAGGTATTTTCCAACCCAGACTTGGCAACCCTACCCAGGATCTCCAGTGTGTTGTTATTAGAAAAGTGTAATGCTTTTTTGGGGGGGAGGGGGGTCCTCCTTGAGCAGACCAGAAACGGACACCCCAGCATCGCCTTACAGGTCAGACGGTCTCCTCCTCCAGCAGTCCTGCTTCTGACATCAGCCAGGCCAGATTTTGCTGCCTCTGACCTTGGAGGCTCAGCTATCCGCTGCAGTGGTGAGAGGGTCTCTGCATCACCGAGAGGCCTGATGTCCCCCTCCCCTCAGCCCCCACGCTGTAGTAGCCCCCGTCAGAGCACAGACTTCAGACCAACAGGCAGGGATGCACTCACCTGGCTCCCGGCAAGCAGGCCTATCTGCAGCCCCTGGGGAGGAGGCAGGGCAGCCCCATAGCCAGGGATATTTGGGGGGGCGGGGGCCCCCACCAGCTAACTAAATCAAAGTTAATTGATTTGCAAAGTTAACTGCAAATCGCCCCTGGGACGAAGACTGGATGGCAGTGTTATTGCGGAACGTAGGTCGTTGCTCCGGGCTTATTTTACCAGAACCCATCTTGGAGTTGAGGGTTGAAGTGATACCTAGAGGTCTCTAGCGACATCTGGAGCACCAACACTTTATGTATTATTGGATTGTTTTATTCTGTTTTTAGAGTTTTAATCGTGGCTTCGTGCCCGAATTGTTTAATCTTGGCTTTGTGCCGTAATTGTTAGCCGCCCTGAGCCCATTCTGGGGAGGGCGGGATATAAATCGAACAATAAATGAAATAAAATTTAAAAAATTAATTAATGAGTGAAACTCCTTAGAAGCCAGCCTTCCCCTAAGGCAGCCCTGCACCACCACCCCGCCAGACTCCAGGGCAAGTGGGGGAGGGGGTAATGGCCAGCAGCCGCAGCTTCCTCCCCCCCCCCAGCACTGCATACCTGCTCAAGTTGTGAAGCCACACAGCGGCAATCAGGAGGGGGACTGGCAGGGGAGGGGGGAGAAAGTGGGGAGTGGGGAGAGGCAGTAGGACACCCTCCCCAGCCCACTCACTCGGGGGTCGCCCAGCAAGCCCGCCTGCCCACTGCCACCGCGCCACCACCGCTGTTCTGGATGTAGCCGGCTGGGAGTGGAGCGAGGCCAGTGGGGAAGCCAGGCCGGAGGCGGCAAGTTTGGGGGCCAGCCCGGGAGGGAAGGGCCCAGAAGAAACAATAGGGGGCCGGGCCCCACGTTAGCCATGGGCCTGGGGCAGGGACAGACGGCAAAATTCCAGTTTGTGGAAACACCCATGAGGCGGGGGGGGGGGATGCCCGCCAGCTGGTCACGGTTGCCATCAGAGCACCTTTCCTCACCCAGAAGGCACTCTAGAGGGCGCCCGGCCAACCCACACCGTGCCAGGGAAGGAGAACGGCACTCAGTCCTTCCAGCTGTCCAAGCC